ATGAAGTGATAGTGGTGTTAAGATTGAAGGACTGTGTAGGTTAGGCAGCCAAAAGTTTTGTTTTGTTTGTTTATTAACGTGCTAGGTATAGTAACTACCGTCGCACTCCTACTGGAGCTTGAGCACGAGTGGGGTCGGGCCGGATCAGGTTAACTACCGTGCAGTACAAATGCCTCGTCCCACCTAAATGACCGGAACCATGCCAAAATGCATCTATGTGTTGAATCATGACGAATTCAGCAGCCCAGATTGAAAACAAACAAAAACTTTCACGCGAAATCCCGTTTTATAAAAGAAAAAGTTAAACAATCTCTCCTCCGTCATTCTGCCTCAGCCACCACGCGCCTGAGCCTCGAATCCAATCTCTCTATGGCAGCCAAAAGTGTTGTTGAAGATGTGTTTTTCTAACCGATTGTTAGAAGCAGACGATTGGACCATTCAAAAACTGCCATGGCTGGATGGTGCGGTGGTACATCGTCTTGGCCGGTCTGCCAAATAGAATCTGGAAAGCTTGGACACATATCCCACTTGAGACAGTAGATCGCTGGTTCAAATCCGGCAAAACACAACCACTTTTCTCGCGGCGCTGGTATGCTTGGATAACCAAAGGTTTCGAAATTCCCTTTGGTGGGTACTTACGGAGGAGGGTCGACTGTTAGCGTAAGCGAACATACCTCATGGTGGGATTTGCAAATGAAATCCAGAGTAGAGTGTCTCTAACGTCAAAAGAGTCACTCAACATGTTTACATAGCACCGGTCATGTGTCATAGCTCTATAGCTGAATACACATTAAATGATTAAAAAAAAAAAGATTGGACCATACCTCATGGCGAGCGGGGTAAGGCGGAGAGACAGTCTAACCTATTGCGAGCTAGTCAAACTGCGCCTACAGGGCAAATCCCTAAAACAACCCAGTTTGAAGTTGTACCTTTTGCAACCTAGAGGCACTGTATATTCAAATTCCTAAAAATGCCACATACCGTAGTGAGTGTTTATTGTCCTAAAAAATCTATAACTATGTAAGGACATGTAGGTCCCTTCTACCTACAGGCCGGGAGTATCTATGCGTCGGGTAGTGTACTCCCTCCTTTGCATCCCTCACGACTTCTTTCTATCAGTAATACCCCCACAGGTCTTCATTCCAGTACAAACTAAGAGGAGCCGTTATCCCGTCATTATCTCCCCTCTCCAGCCAACGAAACGATGGCCATTTGCGGGTGTGTAACTGCAGGAAAAAGTCTCAAAAACCACTGGGTGCGGGGCTCTCCTATGACAAAGAGGCCGGCCAGCCGGGCGCAGCAGACCTGTGTATACCTAAGAGCGTCTCGCAACCTTCCTAGCCTTCTCCTTACTGTTGTGATCATAGTCTGCGCAAGGAAGCAAGGGCTTCATAGACAAGACTCAATGATGAAACAACATGACTTTAGTTATACAAGCTCATATTAATGCATGACTCAAATGTGAGTCGTACTCATTATCAGGAGCTTAAGGATCAAAAAATGTCGATACGCATTACATGAGTACATCAGACAATCAATGGATACGGCTGTAGGATAGATCGTACATGTATATTATCAGGTCCATTTACTTCTTAGGTAGATTATGCGTTCATCTTTAGATATCCATATTATCCTCATTTAGTCTAAATAGATTCGCCCACCACCAGAATATTCATTCCACATTCTTCTTTATATATATACTATCCTCCCACAACACTTATCCATCTAACCTCGTAATTATAACACTTACTCCTCCCTTGTTTCATGCCGCAGGACAAATCGTAGGTCGTGAAAGGATGTCAGAAAAGTCTTGGTCGAGAGTGACAGTCGTGAAGGAGCCGAGCCTAGCATCCAAAAGTCGTTACGGACGTGAGGTCGTCGGGTAACTCATGTATTTCAGATGCCCTCCTGGCTAGTGTATTCGGAAGTTAAGATTAGTAGGGACGATAATGTAGACGAGTCGAAATCTGCTTTTCTTGAGGGGGGAAGGGTCTTTTACTTTGCTTTCGTGGGCTTTTTGTTCGCCCACTGGTGGGTAGCACATGTTGTGATATAACGAGGGCCTCTCTGACTACCGTTGTAGCGTTTGGTACCGCATTATCTCTCCTCATTCCCAGCATCATTATCGTCGTCTTTGTCGTCTTGTGTGTTGTCGGAAGCGTATCTTTGACGGAGGAGGAGATAACTCGGCTCAAAGTTGATAAGGTGTTACTCAATCTCGGCTCTGCGGACTCTACGGTGAGAGCTGGAGGTTCGTAGGGGACACCACTGACATTGGTTGAAATTAGTCCCCTTAAAATGCCACATAGACTGTCACGTAAGTAAATATTACAAGATATTTTTGATTTCAGACAATCATCTTCTAAATTTTATTTACAAGTATAACTACAAGGTATATTTGACTACACAGAACAATCGATATTCTTCCGTAGGTGTTAGAGATTATTCGTCCACAGCTCTAAAACTGGTGTTGGTCAACATGGCTAATAATAACATATTCTGTAATATAACAAACAGAGGACGAGAGAACGTTAATCAGAACATCATGGCCATATAAATTGGTTTTGTAAGCAGACTTATGCTTGCATAAGTCTGTATCCAGTCCGAAAGCGAAAGCACGATCTGCGTGCAGGCATGTCAGACTAGTCATGATGATCAGGGGCGTTAATAGGATAGAATTAGATATCATAGTGCTACGGTGGACTCGTGGCGGAGGTCAAGACTGAACACCTGTACGCGCTGTCCTCTACGAACCTGTGAGTGAAACATTCTCCCAGAGCTAAGTTCAGTCAAACTTCGCAACACTGAATAAGTTGGCCCACGAGGCAATGATTCAGAATACTTAACCACGTCAATTTTTCACTCCCAAAGAGTCCGAATCACACCTAAGCCTCATCAAGTATACAAGTATGACCTAGTACATCCTCATTCCAATGATCACACCTCTCTTCGACTTTCTCTGGCCTCAGCCGGTCACCAAATACATGCCCACGCCGATATTTATACCCGACGGAGGAAGCAAAGCGTGGCGCACAAATCTAGAAGACTGTACTTTGGGATGGACGTGAGAGCATTAAGGACAAGTTGACAAGACGATGCAATGGACGGATATAAACTTGACGAGCGTGGAATTCTCAATTTTGGCTAGTTTTACGAATTGAGCTTTATGCGTACCAAGACATCGATTGCAAGAGTGTAGCTGACACTATAAACACAAGCCAACGATGGAAGGTGTTGTGATCCGCCTCCTGGTGGTGTTCTCTGGTGTAGTCTGAGTGGCCTGGGCACCTACTCCACTTGGGAAAGAGACACCTCAGATCACATATCGCGCGGAGAAAAGTTGAAAGATGATGGAGGCATGTCTGGATAACTCAGGGGTTTTGAGACGTTCCCCTGGGTGGGTATTCATGGATAAGGGTTGACTTGGGGTGAAGAAAAAGCCGCCATAACTTCGGAGTGGTACTTGCAAATGAAATCCGAGGCATGAGTGCTCCTCTTGTAAATTGAGTCATCTTTTCTGAACTTTTCTTTGAAATTGTGTCATAGCTAGATAGCTGCATACGCAGTTAAAATCTGATGCAAAAAAAAAGATGGACTCGTGGCACGGAGAACATTAATCAATTCAATCTTGTATTCGCTTTCATGTTTTGATGATTCACGTGACCTTCACACGAAAATCTCTCCAAATTTTACAAAAAAGAGTTTATTTTGTGTTATTTGCCCTTTTAATACAGAGCTGGTAAGGGCAACATGAACCAGCTCGCGAGCATTATCATATTACAGAAGTCAAATGCGCAAAATTTACGCACGTCTCATATCCCTGTCCATAATTACCGATCCCGCACCGCCATGAGCACGATCAATCTCAATTATCCGTGGCAATCCTGTATATGAACATGGGCTACTATTGTACGTTATGTTTGTACGGATCGATAGCAAGAGAAAGATTGTAAGTACAGGTACCCACCAAAGAAATATCTCAGAAACTGGATATCCAAGCATGTCTCCATCATTCTACACAAATGGACTGCCAAAAAATGGGATGGGCAATTGCCGGATTCGAAGCAGCCGTCTCCTGTCTTAAATGGGTTAAGTGTCTGATCTGTCCAGACTCTACTTGGTAGACCCACCCAGGTAATCGACCATAGCAATATCCAATCATGACAATGTTAATGATGTGGCCAGGACTCTCGTTGTCGAAGAATTGGCTTATAAAATACTCTTCAGTTAATGAATATGCCGTCCCGAAATGGTGATTCTACCACTTTCGAAATAGTATCCCTCTTTTGCATCGTCTTATCCCTTGTAATGATTTCTCTCTCAACAATCTCTTATATCCGCGTCGGGATTTTGTAGCCAATATTGTTATCTCATTCCCGTTATTCACTGTCGTAGGTTTGAATTTGGAGGCCATCTGAGACTAGATACTGAGTCGACGAGAGGTTTGGTTGTTGAAATTAGGATCAAGTAGGTCTCACTCAGAGATTCGATAAGTATGTGGTAGGAACAGATCTTGTTGTGAGTCAAAGGTAGATTTGGTGTAGAGTTTTGAATCATTGCATCGTGGGCCAACCTGGGCATTGCGAAATTTCACTGCACTCGGCTCCGAGAGAATGTTTCACTTCCAGGTTCTAGGAGATCATTTGTTGACAGATGTTCAGTCTTCGTCTGATGAAGAGTGTGTTTTGTACATATCACTCGACTCTCTTAACTTCTAACCAACAGTCTTTGAAAGTTATTCCTTAGTAGTTGTGGCTATGACTAGTGTCAAATAATTATTGAAAGCTTATCAGTATAATTCAAAAATATCGATGAAACTCACTGACAAAGGATTCTACAAGGTATTTCCCTCTTCTTGTCTTAATTGAATAATAATTCACCACAATGCAAACTCGAGTAACTCTGGACTAAAAAGGGCAATGAAGGGTCGGAAAAGAGTAATTACACCTGTCTCAACACTTTTCTTCTTGCTTAATTTAAAAATTGCATACTAGTTCAAAATGCAGTGTTTTTTCGCCCTCTTACTCCTATCTTTAAGTGAATACAGCCCCAAGCATATGATTCTTATAGACAATAAACCCCAACACCCACATTACAGCATTCACAAACCTTATGCCTCAAGAAAACTACCAGAGGCTGACAAAAGAAAAAATATATACTCTCTCAGAAGCAGTAAAATACAAGACGGGATCTCTGTTGCTGTGTATTGCTCACCCGTTATGTCCTCTTCTGAGTTATTTAGGTACCTTGAAAGAGGCTGGAAAGATGTAACAAAGTCTTCGAGTGAACATTTCGGCTTAAATAAATATTCAAATACTGTATGCTTCCTACACCTTGTGGCAAAATCCAAGTTAAATGACTCGCCTATTATTTTATCTACTCTTCTTAAAAAACGCATATGTTCTGATGAAGAGATAGTCGGCCTAGCCTTACTAGAATTAATTGAGATAAAAGGAGACTACAAATTCATTTCTTCATCATCCACTGGAATCAAGATTCATATCATTGGGGATACTGCCATCCGGTTCGAAAACGTCAAGACGTTCAATAAAGTTAAGCTTTTTGTTGATGGGAAATCCAAAAATGAGGCACTCGCGTTATATCAAGGTAATCTTCATTTATTTCAAAAAATTCGGTCAACCTCAACTTGGCTTCCTTTAACATCCCTCTGTCGGAACCAAGGCCGTGGAGATATGATTGTTAGATACTTATTGGAAAATAATAGAAATTTTAAAAGATTTATAGCTAAGTCTGAGATAACTTGGGAAAAAGGCCATAGGAAATTACCCACAGAGAATCCATCAAGCGAATCTAAAGATAAGATGAATGGGGAAAAAGTACAAAACTTAGATGACCAGGACCACATAGATAAATTAACATCGAGTTTTCGGATTCCTAGCGGTCTAAAAGCACTTTCATCTCACAGCGGATCTATTCGAGCTTCGAGAGCAAGCTCGGAGATGGATCAGAAGAAAGTGGTGAAAGAAGATAGCAATTGAGGGAGCTGTTGAAGAACATGACTGGATCATGTGCAAGCTTTCCCTGAATTGCGAACAATTTCACATTGATTCGCAATTCGATATCCTATCATACGAAATTAAAGATGGTTACGTACATTCGCGTAGTCATTGTTTTCAGTATGTGACTATGGACGATATAAGAGCGCCCGTCCCTTTGTACTTTAAAAGCGGAACATTCAGCAATAAATCTACTCTCTTACTCTCAGAGGTCGCCATATTTCGCTACAATGGCGCCTGTTAATCCTCAGATACCACTGAATTCTTTGGTTGGTATTATAAAGAGATGGATCTTGAGGAAGAGGAACGTATCTAATGTCGTGAATTACAAGGAGTTATAATTGACTATATCACATCGAGACTGGACGCAGTAATGAAAGAACGCCTGCACACGATGCACAATACAACAGTTTGGGAGGATAAGTCCTTGAAGCGACACGAGCTGCAAGCTCTTGTGTCATTTCCTCTCTCGATTGTTGTGTAACATAATAATAAGATGGACGCAAAACATAGAAAAGAGACACCTAACATGCGGGTGCTTTTGTAATGGTTAAAAGAAATTTGAAATGCATATCACGAGGTGCTGGGGAGTGGATGATGTTGTTATACATGGGTGATAATGAATAAAGATACAAAATACAATGGTGTAGGGAAATATCCGTAGGCATAGAGCGAGATAGAGCACGCTGACCACATTTGACTCGGCGTATATTCCAACTCTTTGAACTTCCTCCACTGCCCTCTGGGCACAAGAAGTTCCTCACAAATACCGGGAACTAGGTACTGGCTTTAGCACAAGAATAACCCCAGAACTAAAATGTATAAAGTGATATCCACGAGGGGCCTTCCTTGCAACCTATTCCGGACACTTTGATTTCCCTCAATAATATCGGCAGCACGCACTCGATGATGCTCTATTGTATCTCCCCTGGGGCGAGAGGAAAATCCTAGACTATTCCTTCCACTGACGTGTTGGAAGAAGCAAGGCCCGCCTTTGTTGTGGACCACGGTACCCCAGCTGCGATATCCAATGGGTACTCGGCACGCCCGAGAGCACCCTCGCCTTTGAAAAATAGGACTAGCTTACAGGTTCCTACGATGAAGCTAAATCGTCCCCTAAATTTTATCATCGGAGGACGACAACTGACCCGCGAGTGAAATCCAGAGTATGGACGTCTCTCATGTTAAAAAAGTCATGTAATAAATACACATAACGTTGATCATGTATCATAGCTAGATAAACTTGAATAATTTAAATTATTCCCATGCGACTGACAAACATCGCGTGGACTTATGTTGGGAGGACTTAATCTTTTCCTTTGTGGAATAACTTGTTGGAAATTTCTCATAGAGATTGCGCAATCTGCAAGGGTGACTGTGGGTTTCGATCGATCACAATTGAAACAGGATGGTGACAAATATAACTCGTGGCTCTACTACAGCTAATTCAGTAGAATGAAATAGTTAAGCTTGAGTTCTGATAAATTTGTCTATCTTTCCTCCCAACTCCCATTTCCGAGTACAGGACTTGTTCCTCACTATCTATAAGAAAATGTTGGGAATTAGAATGTTTGAATTTATCGAAATTTGTTAGTCTCTTTCATTTAGAAGCTACAAGTCCTCTATAGTCATAGACTCAGACAGGACCATAATAAAATCTAATCTAATCTAATCTAATCCCATTTCCGAAATCTACACTTTGTGCGTAGCTTACTAATTATGAGCTAACCGCATTTAGTGGTCTATGTTACATTACGTAGCCTGCTACCTTAAGGATCAACGTGACTTCACACCACTTGAGACTGAGGTTTATCTTTCCGGGAGACTGAGATGGGCTACATTTACATCGAATATCAGAAATGCGGACAGTTTGTTGTTTTTGACGCGCCAAGTATATGACACCTACGGCACTCCTAGCGGAGCTTAGACACAAGTGGGGCCGGACCAGTTTTTTTTGTTAAAAGGTACCAAATTAGCTAGTTGGACTCGTCCAACGTGTATACACAGCACCGTTTATGTGTCATATTTGGATAGATGAATACACTTAAATGACATTAAAAAAAACTATTGAGGCGACTTTGCGCTCTTGAAGGTATTTAGACGCGTGCGGGGCCTCGTCCAGCCTAGTGACAAGAGTACCTGAGCCACATCAAATTTGGTTAACACCTCACCATCCCATAACCCTTCTTATGGTTGTTAGTATATTGATGGAGTTGTGAACCCACCATTAGACTGATCTAAATGAGAAGAATGAATCTGTTGATATTTAATACATGTAGATGCTTGATCTTCGCGCATTTCAATTTATGCTGACTACAGACCAATAACCTGATCCTTCCTCTACATATAGACGTAGTCTACTTCCTAGCATCGGGCATCCAACTATATGCAATCTTCCATATAATTCCATATGATCTGAACCCATATGAATCCATCATATTCTATGCCATTGTTTTCTTTTCCATCATGTTCCATTCCATCAATCGCATAGGTACAGTGCAGACTCGTTACAACGATATTCGATATGAAGATATTTGCCTTATAGCGATATCTTCTGCGCACGCATTACTTTCTCATCGTAAATATAACAAATCAACGATATTCCATATATCGAATAACTGTCACATGATATAACCACTATCATTGGCTGAAGCCTGCTTATATTTAGTGCCTAATAACCAAGGCTTAATTTACTGTTCCCTAGTTTAATTCCAAGTTTGTTATGCACTTCCCCACACGACTCATTAGGCCTGGTAGAAGCCTGGATCCATCTCATACAATTATATTCCTAAATGGCGACTAAGATTACAGACACGACGACGAGAATATTGAGGTGGAGGAAGAGGAGGTCACGCTCATGGATATCATTGCCGCACATACTGTGCCACAGCAGGAGGAGCACGAGGAGGACGAGGATGAGGAGGCAGCTGAGCCGCCGGCTACGATTAATCAAGTACTAAATGGCCTCCAGCGCCTGCTCCGCTTCAAGGAGCATGAGCCAGATGCAAACTCCATGGATCCCACGGTACTCATGCGCATGGAAAGAAGCCTCCAGCAGCAGGCAGAGCTTGATAGAAGTCAAGGGACAATAAATCTCTGACTAAAATGATACATGATGTAGAACTATATCACGTTATGGCGATTCAAAGTAGCGGCACGGAATCACATGGTTAGAACGAGTCGGCACTGTATTATACTGCAATGATCTGTTCAGCGACCTGCAGGGATACCCTCGTATAATAATAGTCAAGTTATGAACCTACTTGTGGACGGATTTACGAAGCTGTTAAGCTGCACGGGTCGATTCAGTTTCGACGAAGACGACGTTTCAAGGGTTACGAGTCAACTGTGAAGAGACAAGTAAACCGATCCGTGATCCGATTATCAAAAGGCAAATATGCAAGTGTTAGAAATCGAGTCGTCAACTGATGGACTTTGAGAGCAAATCCATATACCTCGATCGGTAAAATCCACCCTCCATTTGCCTGGCCCTAACCAAATCAGGAAAATAATCCGTGCACCACAATATCCAAACTATTTTTAAATGATTCACATCAGCACACTAGTCAAAACACTGATCACTTGCTATGTTTTAGCTGCGGACTATGGCACCCTTAACTGTAGTAGATGCGCTCATGCACTGAACAGAGCTCCCAGCCTGCATCTGTATTTTTGCTTTTTGTCTTGCACTCTACCTAGTTGTCGAGTCTTGTCTTTGACCTTATCTTAGTCCGCTGTCGTCGATCCTTGGCACGGCAATTGTAAGCTGAAAATTTTTCATGGTCCGTTCGACACACTAATGCTTAATGAATAGATGATTGTAATTAAAGTAAATGTCATATCTATGTTTGTAGCGAAGTCCTATATTGTCTTAGACTCAGATAGGACTGCAAATTATATCGAATCTAATCTAACTGCGCTGTGAAAAGTCCCGATATATAAACATAAGTGCGAGATTTTCCGCTCACTAGTATGAACCCCAACATACTTTTTGTAATCTGAATTGGAAGGTTGCCGGAGATCCTACAGCCAAAAGATCCCGTTATACGTCTATTGAGTAATTACATTTCATGCCAGTGAGTTATGATATGGGTTAATCTTATGTCATGGCGCAAGGGCACAATATTCTAATATGTACTGTTTATGTACTGTAGTCATGTTACTGCCTTAGTTACAACACCCATTCTTTTAATAGTACTCTTAATTTGATATTCATTTAGCTACCCACTCCGTTCGTTCTAATAGCACTGTGCCCATTCAATTGCGCGATATTTTCAAGAGAATTTGGATTTGGTTGGGTGTACTGAATCATTTCCTGGTGGGCCAACCACTTCGGTATTGGTGAATTTGACTGAACCTGGCTCTTGGAGACTGATTCACTCCCAGGTTTATGGAGGGCACTAGGGACAGGTATTCAGTCTTCGACCTCCAGGTAGAGAATATTGTAACCTAATCTCTCTCATTCTCAGACTATGTGGTGAACAGTAGTTGCATGCCAAATAACTTCACACAGGGGTGTATGAAGAAAGAGGCAAAAGATGCCAGCAAACCCAAACAATATGTCACATATATGGATAAATATCCCAATACAGTATAATAATGGTAGTAACTTATTCCTTTAAGTCTCATTTCTCTCATTTAATCATACTACCCAATCCTCTTCATCTCTTTCACTAAACGATAAACTTTAATGAAGACATCTAGAGGATGACTGGTGAAGAGCGTGGATTTATCGGCCGATGATCGGAGGTCGTCGATAAAAGAAGACAAGGAGCTGGGGACAAGAAGATGTGTCGGTGAACAAAGAAGCTTAGAAACTTGAAAAGCTTAGCATTCATTTTGTAATAGGGCTGGCTCCCTTTCGTCCGAAAAACTAACACCAAATGACTCAGAACAGCCTGTGATCAAATGCTAATCATAATTCTGGATCGGTGGTTCAAATTGACGCTGGATCTAAAACGACAAGAGCGATCGAAATCAATTTCGAATGACGCAGCTGTCAAACAGGATTATTATTTACTTGGCGATGAGGTTAGAAGACCCTTGGGTTCTTGATATTTCCGCTCCGTCAGCGGCACCAATTAAAAAAAAGCTCAAAGCTCCTCGTCAGTGCGAGAAAAACCTTACAGACTAGTCAAGCACCAGTAGGAGATAAACTTGTCTAATGGATTGGGGCAAAGCCAAGGAAAAGAATAAAAAAGTGTAATGCTACGGTATTCAAAATTTCTCAAGTTCGGAAAATGAGGAGAGCGAGTCTAAAATCCCATGAACTTTACTGGCTCTCCGTCCAGCTGAATTGCACCAACTGACTCTCTATTTTCCCGGTGTCAATCCCTACGGCTGTTCAGCAGATTTCTCCGCGGAAGAGGGAATATTCTCCATTGGACTGAAGAGATAATTCATAAATGGATACCAGCATGTGAAGGAGAAGCACTGTTGTCAGCTGCCGTCCATTTTTAAATTTATGGAGTCAAATGTGTCATAGAAAGCTCGAATAAAAGACGTAGCTTGGTGCCTTTCATCATGCTAGGTGCCATGGCTAAAGAAAAATTTTGAAATTTGGATCAAGGTATGAGCCAAGCTATGCGAGCCAAGTATGTGAGATTGTATCTTAAGGATCATATCTATATATTTTGCGCATCTCTGATTCACATAGCCTCGATACTTAAGAATAATTAGTCTCTGCTCGTCCAACTTCATCTTCTAGGTCGCCACAAACTCCACATTCCGTCTTGCTCTAATCATAAAACTTCATCTCTTTGACCCTTAAAAACTACGGAAACGGTCCAGACAAAAATGAAACTTTTCACTATAGCTAATATAACTTTGCTACTCAGCTTCTCAGTCCCGGTTATTTCATCGCCGATCCAGAAAAGAAATAAACATACTTTAGAAGTACCTCATGAAATGAGCTCATTCAATGTTTATTGTAGGGGTGGGGCGAAATATGATGGTGAAGATCTCCGTGTTTTGGCCGGAGTTGGAGCAATGTTACTGAAATCAAACCATTCACGAGTGATACCGATTTCCAAATTCAGTTATACAGTGGCAGGACCGTACTTTGCTAAATCTATAAATGATGGTATGTTTGCCTAGAATCTTAACTTTCGAGGTTTAAGTTTGGCTGGAGAGACTGACACTTCTACAGTCGATTACGTGGTATTTACTGAGATGGGAATTTTTGTGGGTGTGGTTTCAGTGGGAAATCCAGATTTAGGGGAGAAAATGGAGCCATGTTTGAATATGTAAGGCACTATGAGTAAGGCTTTACATTTGCCAGCAGATTCGGGTAAATAATATTATCAATACGCAGCGCTGTGTTGTAGTAAGTGTCATCGGATCCATTGGCGGTGGTATACAGCAGAGCAAGTCCGGAATTAAATCAGTTAATTAATAATACCCAAAGACGGAAGGGCTCATACATCTTGCTATTTACATGAGGGATTTAAATTAACGACGCCGATCATAACAGGCTCCGTTGCTTAGCAACCGTTTCCAATCTACACCCTTCGTAGTCTCTATAGCTGATTAGACCCTTGATTCCATCTGTAACGTGCTGGCGCAGACAGCACACACACAAGGGAGTATTCCCGTAACAGTAAGGGTTGAAATTATCCGCTATCTTTTTTATACCTGGCTACGTTGGAGATAATGTACAGTTTTGCGCCCACGAGCCACACATACGCAATTTGATTCGATTTATTTTTGTCCAACGTTCTATTTGGTATAAAATTTACATGGCCACGAAGACGGTAAGCTGATTTCGTCAGGGAAAAAGCATTCGAATACAAAACCCCATGAACTGCCACTTTGAGACAACTGAGCTTCGCGGTGAGTACTTTCATTAGATCAAGTGTGTTATAAACTTCCTGCGAATTTCGTTTATTCCCCCTTCACTAAGATCAAAGATAGTGGAGTTCGAAGTGGGAAGCAGCTACTCATTCGGCGCGGGTCTTCGACATCTTGCAAAAGACGACCTCAATGGTGGTGGCTCTATCGAGAGGATTGTTGGTGCCACTGGGACTACGATCTACTTGCGTAGAAGTCCTGGCTCTCTATTTTGTTCTTCACCTTTCTTACTGGTGACAAAAGGTAATTCCAGAGAATTAGTCATTGTAATTATTCGCTCTGTTGCTGCCGGTGGTATATCATTTCTCATGCTTGCCGTTCTCGGTGGAAGATCCATTCGGGCCTTCCACATACTCCCTTTGCAGACCTGGTATGTCGGATATGCTACTTTTGGCCATGAGAGGTATTGTTTGCTGCAGTCTGCATTAGAAAATCTTTTCCTCAGAAATTCCGAGGTTGGTGAGGACCAGCGCACTCACTGCACCTGGCTGTCTTTCCATACGACTCCTGTGTATGTCCCTACTGGCTGCAATTGAAGCACTTCTTTTGCCAGGCTCATGGTGACTGAATTTGCGCGGTGGACAGTATGGAGTTAATGACAGGGCTATGTTGAACCACTTCCATTCGTATTGCAACCGATGGGAGGCTGACCACTATTGATCCTCTGCTGCGGCTGTTTTCCCCAGACTGCTGGAGTTGCTTTCCATCGTCTAGCCATCGTATTCTGTTAATTATTAGGCCGGCAAACTCAGCCCCCGTCATCGCCTTAAGCTTCTTGATGATGCCAATGTTGTTGTTATCTCTTCCAGCCTCAATTTTTTGTCCTGAACGGGACCCTGAAAACCTTGATGGGAGCTTCGCATTTAGTGAATAGCGTTTGCAGCTTGTCGTTGTCGTTTTACCTTTGGAAACAGCTACTCTGAATAAAAAGTTTGTGCGACATCCATTAGACTTCAGACTGCCGTCTTCCTTATTTGTGGAGCTACGATCGACGCGTAGGTCCTTTATGTGGGTATCCCTGAAGCCACTCCTTAAGCAGCATTACGAGTGGAGTTCGTGAGGCTCGTCTTTATAGCCTCATCAAACGCCATCATCAACTCCACTATTTGGAGACGGGATATGTAACATTGTTGTCCAGGCCTTCTTGTCACAATTATATGCCTTGACGACATCATTAACCTCCTCCTTGGCCGATAAGTCCTCCACTTCGCCCATGACAATAAGTCTCACTCTCTCTAAAAGCTTCTCCAAGATTTCAAAGTTTTTATCCCAAAGAGCTGTCTTAACCCCTTTGCCTTCTATATTTGTCGCCGTTTCCGCATCTTGAAACGCATCTCAACCGATAAATTCACCCACTGCCACCATGTTGTAGCCAAGGAGGTTAAATCACGAGAAGAGAGTCGGAGAGATTCGAAAAAAAAAGATTCGTCAAATGGATGATGAAAGCAGCGCAGAACGCTGTCCAGTTTCTGACACAAATGGTGTTTTCATCCACGCACGCGGTTGCTATATCAATAACAATTGTGAGAAGATGCATGTTTGAGCATAGTCAGCTCTACCAGAGTGCAGCTGGCACTATAAATACAAGCCAAAGAAGGAAGGTGTTGTGATCCGCCTCCTGGTGGTGTTCTCTGGTAAAGTTTGAGTAGCCTGGGCACCTACTCCACTTGGGAAGGAGACATCTTTGACCATATTCCGCGCGGAGAAAAGTTGAAAGATGGTGGAGGTATGTCTGGATAACTTGGGGGTTTGCATACGTTTCCCTTAGTGGGTATTCACGGATAAGGGTTGACTTGGGGTGAAGAAAAAGCCACCATAACTTCGCAGTGGTACTTTCGAATGAGATATGAGGCATGAGTGCTCTTCCCTTACTTTGTATCATCTATTCTGTACTTTTCTTTGATATTGTGTCATAGCTAGATAGCTGCATACGCAATTAAATTCTGATGCCCAAAAAGATGTCAGCTCTAGCCATTCAGTCATGTGGCACATGAGGTATTTGGAGTCAGCGTTTGGGTCTGAAAGTTATGCAGGTATTGTTAAATGACAAGGTGTGTCTAGCTGCTACAGGGGCAATCCGAGTCAGGCAGAGTCAAACACATGAGTCGCGTCAATTACGCTATTCATGCAGATCAGTCGCGTGGAGGAAAATTGTACTTAGGAGTCTGGCTGTCTCGATCTTAGTATACTTTTAGTTAACTCGAATATCTGATTCTATCTGACCTCAATCCACTGTGCTAATTCCATCGTCTTCTATACAGTCATACTGCGACAGAAGTCCTCCCAAATTTAATAGGTTATGACCACCGGTTTGCCACAGGTATAAATAGAATCAAAATCGACTCCAAAGCCTTGACGGCTTAGCCTAAGATTCGAGAAAGGAATCTACAATCGTCTAAGATTCGAGAAAGGAATCTACAATCGTCTACGATTCGAGCAAGGAATCGAAATTTCGCCTTGGACTAAACCTCACAAGAATGGAGGATAATGAAGCCCTTGGCCGCATCCCCTCGCTCTCAAGGGATAACTATGAGAGCTGGTTCAGAGAAATGAAGCTAAAACTTAAATCTAGGTCAGTATTTTTCACTATTGAAACAACATTGGAAGAATACGCGACCACGAAACAAAACCGAAGTAAAACAATACCTTCGACATCTGGTATCGATGGAGGATCAATCAAAGTTGAAGTGCTGAGTACGAGTTTGGACGAAACAAAAGTTGAAAAGTATGAGAAAGCTGAAGCAACGTCACTTTTCCTCATACTCCAGGCTCTCAGCGCAGAAGATTTTGATCTGATTGATGAGCACGAGACAGCACTCAGAGTCTGGAACGCACTCAAAGGCAAGTATTTTAGAACGAACGAGTATTCTGCAAACACGTATCTAACTAAAATTGCAACGTTTGAATTCCGTCAAGAAATGGGCTTGGACAATTCTTGGGCTAAGCTAAAAGAGTTTCGCCGAAAACTCATCAGTGCAGATCCTATCATGAAGAACGCTTATCCAGATGCGGCGTTATTCTTAATTCTGACAAAGACACTCCCAGCGGCCTTTAAGGCGACAACAGATGGATTCAGAATACAGGTTACTCTTTCTGTTGAGGATAAGCTGAAGATTTTGAACGAAGTCGAAGAAGATCTACGACTTCAGAATGAAAAAGCCCTAGTTGCTAGGCAAAAGTTGTCTAAGTTTCCACAGAAAATGCGACAAAATCAAAACTCTGATTCTGATAGCCCTGCTTATAGGTGCTATTTATGTAAACGGTCACACACTGTCGCTCGATGTCCTAGGTTAGAAACAGCTGCGAGACTTTTGAAAGAGCACGACAGGAAGAAGAAAGTGCAGGAATCAACTAAACCACGCCTGCAAGATAAAGATAAACCCAAAACTTCTCGATCAGCACAAAAGCAGTCCAGATATCACAATGCCTTCTCTGCTGAAACGTTAGCTTCAGAAAATGAAGATTGCGAAGAATGTCACCTGTCAAAGGAAGAAATATGTAAGGCTACTCCATCTGATTGGCCCGTCGATACTGGCGCCACGTCTCACATGTCTGACCAACCTCTTCTATTTAGGAAACTTATACCAATTGTTCCCAAAAGAGTAAAGGTTGGAGGGGGCGAATTAAAGTCTGAATTTTCTGGCGATGTTCAAATGAGGTGTAAAGACGGATCTTCAATGCTTCTTTCCGATGTTTTATTTGTTCCAAATCTGGGAGTTAATCTTCTATCAGTGAGAAGGCTGTGTCAAGCAGGTTTGAACTTTGCGGGTAATCAAAATGAATTGTTCCTTAAGCTAGGCAATAAAGTTATCATTGAAGCTAGAATGAATCAAGGACTCTATACTGTGACGCATATCGCTGAAGGATATGAAGAGACTGCGTTTAATTCTGTGGAAAACGACAGGTCAAATAATAACACTTCATATGTGAGCCCGAGTCAAAACTCACATCAAGAAACTATCCGGAAAAACGAAAGGGAAAGATACCTCAAGTACCACCGTCGCTTTGCTCACTTAGGACCTGAAAAAATTCGAAACTTACATCTGGTTACTACACTCAAAAAGCAGATCAAGATTCCACGAGATCTCGATGTCTGTGAGGTATGTGCACTTACTAAGATGAAAAACAGGATCCCAAAGGTCCTAAGCCCTTGGATCAATGAAATACTGGGACAAGTTCAATTTGATGTCGCAGGCCCATTCCCAACAAGTATCAGAGGCAACAGATGGTTCCTCCTCATCATTGACATTTGCAGCAGAATGAATTGGGTGATTCCAATAAAGACCAAAAGTGATGCATATGAGGCATTAAAAACCTGGAAAACAGTAACTGAACATCAATCGGGCAAGAAAGTTAAATGTGCAAGATCAGACAACGCACCCGAACTCCTCAAAGCCATC